TGATTGCACTCTAGTCTGATTCATAAAAGAGCATTTTGGTTTTAAACCTGCGGCATGTTCAGATCTTCCGAACACTAGGGTTGGACTTGATTATGGGTTGGACTTGATTATGGGTTGGACTTGATTATGGGTTGGACTTGATGGACGTATGTCTTTATTCAATCCCAAATACTATGTAACTATGTAGCTATGTAACTAGAAGGAAGCGATGTCGACGCTTCAGATGAAGCAAATAGCTTGTGTCAAGGGGCCATATTCTGTCTCTAGCCAAAGGTAATCGCTCCATCTTCTTCTGAACACCGGGAGGAAAGTAGTGTCTGATGTCAGCCTGTCCTCTGTACATGATGAGTGGCTGCAGCTGTCCGGAACCACCTGCGACTTCTGCAGCAATAATCTGCAGATTCTTCCTGCACCAATTCTCAGCTGGACCTTAGAGCCGCGTGGGAATCAGGAATAAGAGGGACCTGTGGAAAGCCTACGACCTCTGAGCTGTGCAGCAAGCGGAGCTGAAGCCAGGAGGTCCTAGAGCAGGGGTGCCTATGAGGTCGATCGCAAAGCATACACTGGTAGATCGTGATCGGCTGTGTCCTGTTCTCCCGCGGTGCGCCTGCCGTCTGAATGTGTCAGCCGCTGCAGACGGGAAGGGGCGGGACAACTCTCCCCGTGTGCAATGTCGGCCACACGAGCACCGCGGGAGGACAGGATGCACGATAGGAGACCTGAGAAGCTGCTGCAGTGGAGTTAAAAAAAGACACGGGGGAGAGACAGCAGAGAAAGTGAAGAGAAGAGACAGCAGATGGAAACAGGTTAGAGAGCGAGGAGAGGGAGAGAAGGCAGCCAAGAGAGAGGGCCGGTTCACACCACAGAGTCTGCGTTCCACAGTGTTCGGCCTCTAGAACGCAGGGAATGCAAGCATATTAGTGCCTGCGTTCAGTCCAGTGCGATCTGCAAAAATAGTGCTTGCAGCATTTTTGCAGATTGCAACTGGACCGGAACGCAGGCACTAATGTACCTGTGTTCCAGGTGCGGGCGAGCGCACTGCGGGCAGGGGGCGTGGTTTTGGTGCCATTGACGTCAGTGCACCGCCACACCCCCTCCCACCCCTGAATGCATTTGTTTTTTCGTGGGTAGATCTCATTGAGTTCGTCATTTGAAAAGTAGATCTCCAGACGAAAAATTGTGGTGCGCCCCTGTCCTAGAGCATCCTAGCACTGGAGACCTTCTGTAAAAGAGACGAGACCCATACGGGGACATTTACCTATATATGAGTCTCTCTGCTTCAGAAAAGTCTGATAGGTTTACAGTTCTGTGCGTCTGTATTACTGCAGGAGCAGGCAGGACAATGTCCATTCCCCGATCTGCTGTGTGATCAGTGGGGCAGGAAGCACTGTGGTCACAGCTGTCAGTCGCCTGAAGTGCTGACTACACAGGCGATCGGACACAATGCTGTGCTTGATCCCCTGTATTGGTCTAATAGACCGCTGATGTCTCCATAAAGAGAACCTGTTACCTCCAAACGCCATCACATAGGGGGCTTGTAATCCCCTGTGTGATGGCAATAAAGTTAATTTAAAAAAAAAATATGTAAGTCACAAAAGAGTAAAAAAATAAATAAAACCAATCCGCCATCTGCATGTGAATTGAAATGCGTGCGTACGGCGTGTACGTGTACGTGAGCCACACATGCTGAGCGAGAACAATAAATCTGGGGCCATAAATCACTGTTGGCTCTAAACTGACGAGCGGTAAAGGCTTTTTCAAAGCGTTGCCTATGGAACATTTTTGAGCGCCATAGTTATTCGCCATTGCACGGGCGCGCGCAATTTAATGCTCGACATGAACTGATGTGAATGTACGTATGTAAAGTGCGGCATAAATTGTCGACGGTATACAAATACCTGTAATAAATAAAGCTTGTTGCGTACCAATAAAGCGTACAGAGACACTAATGGCAGCCAGAGTAATCGTTTCTGGGAATTGGAAGTCCGGGTGGAGTGTGGGAACGCTCTGATGTCACTCTGTTCACTCTCACTAAACCTTTCAGTAACAATGTATTCAGTGGAAAACCTATTGAAAACACAGAACTGCATGAAGCTCGGCGTGCCGAGAAGTTTCCGACCGCGATAACGTCTGCGTGAAATGAATGCGCGTTCCACAATGAGAATCATTTCGTACAGAAGAGCCGGCAGAGAAGAGGCCGCGAAGATCTTTTATAAGTGACTTCGCCCTTTAATAAATAGGCCTCTTCACGGAGAGCGCTCTGCGTCGTCAGTTTCGTGTGTTCCGGCCGGTGGCGGACCGGAGTGATAGATGATCCGCTAAGTGCTCATTGTCTGCCCAGAAATAGCATCCGGACCTGTGCGGAGATATCATGGAGTGCTAATTGTTGGAGGGAAAGCGTGACGCGCCTTCGCGTTCAGACTCCCTCGGGCACCGCCAAAGACTCGTTTAATTATGCCCTGCTAGCTAATGACCTGCTCGCAAATTCATGATTCCTCATCTCCATAAAACAACTCGGTAATGATATTCTAAATGGAAGAAAGGCGGTGTGGTTTAATATTGAGCGCTCTTCCAGTCAGCCGCCGCTCTCCGACAGCCTCCAGTACACCCGCCCTTCATTTCATCCACATGCAGAAACTGTGAGCTGGCAGTGCAGGGGTTAACTAGCTGTACATGTTGGAGGTATTGTCACATGCAGAAAACCTTGGTCATATACTGTATGTATATATATATATTGACTGGGTTGTCAAAGACACTAGTGTGGTATTGTTTTAAAAAGGTAGTGAATTTGGGAAAATTGAATTACCCCCCTCTCCTCCCGGCCTTGCTATGCTTACCTTTTGGGCGACTGCTCCTTCCCCATGGCCGGTGTCGGTGTACTATCAGTACTGCCGTGTAGCGCAGCCCTGCGCTCTGCATTTTGAATTTCGCTCACAATTGGCGAGCACTCATTATGAATGAGAAGTGCTTCTTGCCAATCCCTCCACTGGCTTCCATCCCCTGCCCCTCTCTGCCAATCCCTCCACTGGCTTCAAAGCTCCTTCTTTGCCCAATATCTAATATGGAGGGGGTAACTCTATAATAATGAACGTGGATTTGGAATGGGAAGTCCAACCAACTCATATAAGTGTAATGGTCAGGTGTCCACAAACTTTTAGTCATAGAGTGCATTCCTAAATCATCGCTACTCTAATAAAATAAAGCTATAAATAAACAATAACTAAAAGCAGCTAAATCTCCCAGACTGATATGTATAAAACAAATCCTTCTCATTGGTCTACCTCTACACAGTCTACCCTCCCCTTTAATCCATCATGAATGCTGCTGCCAGACTCATCTATCTCACCAACCAGTTTCTGCTGCCCCTCTCTGCCAATCCCTCCCCTGGCTTCCAACTCCCGCCCCCCTCTGCCAATCCCTCCACTGGCTTCCATCCCGTGCCCCTCTCTGCCAATCCCTACACTGGCTTCCATCCCCGCTCCTCATTGCCAATCCCTCCACTGACTTCCATCCCCGCTCCTCATTGCCAATCCCTCCACTGGCTTCCATCCCCGCTCCTCATTGCCAATCCACCCACTGGTTCCATCCTCTGCCCCTCTCTGCCAATCCCTGCACTGGCTTCCATCCTCCGCCCCCCTCTGCCAATCCCTACACTGGCTTCCATCCCCCCCTCTGCCAATCCCTCCAATGACTTCCATCTCCCTGCCCCTCTCTGCCAATCCCTCCAATTACTTCCATCCCCCGCCCCTCTCTGCCAATCCTTCCACTGGCTTCCATCCCCTCGCCCCCAAAAATAGTTAAACATACGAACATACAATGCCACAACTCTGCCCTAAGTGACTTCCACCCCACTAGTCTCAAAATATAATTCAAACCATCCTCAAAATTCCTCCCAACACCTCATGCTCTCTAGCTCCCTTTTCACCTCCTCTGACCCTCGCTTCTGGGACTTCCCCAGATCCTCTCCCATCCTCAGGAACTCCCTGCCCCAACCTGTCTGACTATCTCCTACTCTGTTCACCCATAAAACTCTTATAGATTGTAAGCTCTCAGGATCAGGACCCTCCTCCTAACCCTCTTGTATTGCATTGTATCTGTACTGTATCCCTTTATGTTGTAAAGCGCTGTGCAGACTGGTGGCGCTATATAAATCCCGTATAATAATAGTAATGAAATGTCTTCATGGGGCAGACATGTTTCTTTATTGCATACGCAGTCTCTGCTTCCTGCGGCTGTGCTTCCCTTTGTAGGTGGAGGTCTATAGTCGGTGTAACCATAAGCGGTGAACGATACAACTGAGATTTTCATGCTGCAGCCTTTCGCCTAGGAAAGTAAACCACGTCTATGCTTGCTGGAGAGTCTGCAAATCTGAACTATACATTTTAGGGAATGAGAGCGCTGGGCAGTCTGCGCAGTAGCAGGCTGAGGGCCGATCACGCGGGCACTGTACACAGGAGACGTGGGCAGATCACGGAGAGCGGTGTCTGCCCAGCTGGCCGAGGGACTGGTACCGTTATGACTGCTGCTAAGGATCTATGTGAGGGGAATGAGGTGCCTGCAGGGTGGGGGTCGTGTCGCCATATTTGTCAGATCTTTTTGGCCGGCCTCCATGCCGATTGGCTGGGAAGCCGGCTTCCCGGCCAATCGGCATCCAGCCGGCCAAACAGAATGTAGTCGGCTTCCCCTGCAATCAAGAAGGTGGGCAGTGGGTAATGACACGCCGCCTGGCTCCCTGTTTGCCCGGGAAGACAGCTCTATGCTACCGGAAGTACCGGTATCGGCTATTAACGAAATCTAAATATCGGTACTCGATACCGCAAAAAACCGGTATCGGTGCATCCCTAGTAAACTGTATAGTCTGGCTATTAACTGGAGACTTGATAGTATTTCTCCTATTCTGTTGCTGTGCAAGTCTCGCCAGCAGCTGGTTTAGAAGACATGACACTGTAACCAAAGCAGAAAAGCGGAAGTTTTATTGTATGTCGTCCTTTGTGTTGCAGGGTGTGGAGGGAAGCGCGGGACCGCATTGTTGGCTTTCCTGGACGTTATCATGCCTGGGACATCCCTCACCAGTCCTGGCTGTACAACTCCAACTATTCCTGTGAGCTGTCCATGGTGCTGACGGGAGCGGCCTTCTTCCACAAGGTAAAACTATCCTTATGCCTCTCTCTGCATGAGGGGAACTGCTGCTTTCATCCTTATAAACTATTCATTTTAACCACTTCATGCCCCCGCGGATATTTTGTATCCAGAATCCCAGTTATTAGTTTAGACGTTTGGTGCCTCGACAGATTTTTATGGTGTCACTACCGTGTTTCCCCGAAAATAAGACACTGTCTTTTATATTTTTTTGGCTCAAAAAAAAACACACTAGGTCCTATTTTCGGGGGTAGGTCTTTTTTTTTTTTTTATGTACAACAATCCAAAGTTAATGCAAATCCAAATGAAATAATCCAAAATGGCAAAGTTAAGAATAGTGTGATCGGGGCAATCAGGGGCGCCGTACCTTTCCAAGAGCAATTTTGTAACCAATCGCTGGCCGGAATGAGCGAAGCGCGCTTTCACTATGGATTCCTCACAGGCGGAGTGCATTTGGTATGACTCCGCCTGTGACAGGAGGCGGCGCTGCAGAGGAAACATCGGCTTATGCGGCTCTGCTCCCTCCGCTGCCGCCTCGCTTCCTCTAGCGCCGGCTTCGTTGGCACCGCTGATTCTCTCTCGCGGCTCTTCAAGTTCCCACTTATGCCACCACCGGCCCTGGGATCGGTCACAACTAGGTCTTATTTTCGGGGTAGGTCTTATATTTTAGCAATTCCCAAAACTAAGTCTTATTTTTGGGGGAAACAGGGTAGTCTAATCCCAGCGCCTTCCCTGCAACACCCTGGTCACAGCAAGTGTACCGTGCATAGGAACAGGACTAGGGATGCGCCGATACTTTTCGAGTTCCAGCGCCGATACTTGGCATTTTCACAAGAACTTCCAGCGTTGCAGCTGGGACGGGGCTCTCTCACTCCACCTCTGTCCTGAAATCATTAGTCTGTATTGTTTTAGAAAAACTGTCACATGACAAACACAAATGTATCCGTACTCGTACTCGTAAAACTGGTATTGATGCATCCCGAATATATATTCATAAAAACAAATCATACAATAAAACAGAGATGTACAAATCCCGAGAGCTTCGTGTGGTCCTTACAGATGACAGCGGCCTCCTAACTTTTACATTTTTCTCTAGTCTAGTCTTGGAGCTGGAAAAGTATCGGTACTTGTACCGAGTACTGTACTTGGTATCGTTGCATCCCTAAACAAAACCATGTAAATGCACACTAGTCTACTAGACAATGACTTCCTAAAATACAACTTCAACACATACACCAAAAAAATAAATAAAGAATCTATGCCAGCGGTGGCACCAAGGTGCGTGTTAACATGTCCATGGTGCGACGTCATCACGCCTGCGCGCTGATGTACTTCACTGCCGGTGGCTATCTTAGTGATGGCGTCAGCAAAGGGGGGGGGGGGTTTGACCCCCCCCTCCCTGGTGTTGTTGTTGGGCTCTCTGGCCATAACCGGGTGCCCTACTTACGAGGGGGTGACACTAAAATGACCGTGTGGTGCCTTCCCGCTCACCCCCCTTGTGACGCCACTGATCCCCGGCCCATCCTTCCTAGTTGCATAATCTAATCTAGAGATCCCTCCCCTTACTCGGGTGCTTGCATAGCTCTCCATGACGGCTTCCTCCAGTGTTTGTCCTTGGTGCAGAAATCTCTGGCACTGCACACTGAATGCCCATAAATCTAAATAGAGCCGTACACCTACTGCATACAGTTGTTGTTTACAAGTGTACGGAAACCCAGAATCTATGGGGGTTATTCGCAAAGCTGCCAAAGGCAGCCGAGTGAATAACCGAGCCGAAGCGAAGTGAGACGAACAACGTTCGGACAATTCACTCCGGCTCAGTACGGCTGATTTCAGCCGCACACCGGCTGCCTTCGGCTGCACTTCAGTCAGTCGCACATGTTCTGCATGTTTGGCTGAGCAGAAGTGCAGAAGGACTTCGACTCAGGCAATCCAACATCTGAATCGGCTGAGCCGAAGCTCCGGGGCCGAACGGCAGTAAGTGAATAGCCGATGGCCGCCGAGCTTCAGGTGTCACTTCGGCTCAGTCGAGGGAAAGCATATGCCTTCGGCTCGGCTGAGCTGCTCGGCCGCCTTTTCAGAGATATAGTGAATAGCCCGTACAGCAGCCCTTCGGCTCCTTGGTGAATAACCCCCTATATCTCAGTATGTCTAAATTTAGCATCTTCTCTCACTACATACAGTACCACCACCACTATACACAGAACCTTCCAACAACAGCACTCCCTGTTGCAGGCTGACAACGCTAAGCTATGCCTTGCAAATAGCACTAGCGTTACTGGGCTGCCGATCTGATGGGTAGCACCACAGCCAATCGACGGTCGCTTCCTGCCTACATGCACTGCAGCGAGGGCTGCCTGGCATTAGGGAGGGTTTCCTGATGGTGACAACAGTGGACCATGCCTGCTTAATATGTTAAATGACCCCCTTGTAGTCTCCCCCCAGAAGTATGTGTGACAGGATGACAACGCAGGAGGGAGACAGGGACAGAGTGTTGTCTGCCTATAACAGGAAGTTGTCTGCCTTTGATGGCAGAGTTCCCCAAGCGGGAAAACATACATAAACACGCATTAACAAAAACCCTCCAAAAATGCTTGAAGAAGCTCGGATGTGAACCTCGGCTTACTGTACATCTTGCATGTTGTGGATGAATAAGTGATGGTGGAGGTGCATGTGGACGTCATAGTACCAGAATCAGTCTACGGCAAAGAGCACCTGTTGCGTTCTGTGAAGCATGACCAATGATAAATCTTGGCAGAGCGCTCACTGATGTGTTGTGTGTTCTCTCCCCTCCAGTATTATGCCTATTTATATTCCTACGTGATGCCGCAGGCAATCCGGGACATGGTGGACGAGTATATCAACTGTGAAGATATCGCCATGAACTTCCTGGTCTCCCACATCACCCGTAAACCTCCCATCAAGGTGAGTCCGCCATCACTCCTCGCACGCCATCACTGCGCTATTTCTGCCAGGCGAGTAGTGTGCACTGAGGGAGAGCGGCCTGCTTAGAGGTCCCTGAAGTCTTTAGGTACTTTGTGATCGACTTAAAGAGCGGATGCCGGGCACCTGTCCAGGTCTGAGCCGGGAATAATGGGCAACGGTGGCATCGTCCATGGATATTATTCCTCCTGCACGCTCCTGAGAGCAGCAATATAATATGCACTAAACTCCAAACTGCTGCATCATTACTTTCCTTCATGGGGGGAGGAGGGAGAGGGGGGTCCCATTAATCTGTTGTCCGTGGCGTTGGTCTCTTTATGAGAACCCGTCACCTCACCAAAGGTCTACCTGTGAGGTCTCACCTGCACTCCATGTAACAGGAAAGGGCTGCAACCTCTGTAACGTTTTTGTTTCTTTGTTATTGTTTCCTGTGTTTCTCTTTGGGAGATTGCCGCCCACTTCCTGTCTCCGGATCAAAAGAATTTCTCAATGGGGAAAGAATGTCACCTAAAAAAACACCTGGGGTAGTGCGATGGCAATCTCCTGAGCCATATTGAACACACCGGCCGGGCATTCTCAGCGTAAACTGAACCTGCGGCGAGGCTACACAGATTCTCACCAAGTTGGAAATCTGCTTTAAATGAAACCCTCGCTGTCCTGTAGCTGCATGCGCTATGGACTAATTGGTTCCTAAATTCCACAATTCCAGCACAAAAAAAGAGCTTGCTTGCTTAATGCCTGCTGTGAGGGGAATCTAAGCTGCTGGGACACTTCCGGGAGGAATCGGTAAACTAAAAAACAATCCTGTTGAGTTTACAGATGTGTATTGAGCTTGTAGTCCATCCCGGGGAGGGGGGAGCTTGGAGCGGTGACTACTTTAAAACACCCACGGGGGCCATGGGGAACACAAGTAGCCCCCCTCCAGAAGGAAGGACAGTGTCAGAGATGATTGGAGGATCTACAGCCGAGTGATACACAAATAAGATACATTGGGGGAAATTTATGAAAACTGGAGCAGCTGTGCATGGCAACCAATCAGCATCTCTCCTCAGTTTGCTCAGTTATGATTTGAAAATGAGAGAGAGAAGCTGGTTGGTTGCCATGCAAATCTGCTCCAGTTTTCATAAATCCCCCCATTATTGTTAATAGTTAAGGTGCTTGAATGGTCTTTTAAGATTTAACTCCTGAGGTTAGTGTCACTTTAAAACAAACAACCTGTAAAAACACAAGTGTCTATACTCGCTGGTCCCACCACCCGTGCCCTCGTGTCTTTGCTGTCCTGCAGCGCTACAACCTGTGGCAGAATCTGTGCATCAGATATGTGTCCTCGCTGCATGCCGCTGCCACTACATCACCACAGGATATAGTAGGGAGGAACCCCAGGAGGGGGCAAAATACCTTTTGAAGGAGCCTCTGCATTACACTCAGAACTCGCTGATCATGGGTTCTGTGCTCTGTGGGCTTCCTTGCAAAACATAATCATTGCACATTGATAATGAGATCACTGCTGCTGTGTTTTTTTGTTTAGTTTTTTTTGCAAGAGGCGGACAATTCCTTTAAAGGAGAACTATGAGGGGTGTGATTTCCACTCATCCTCATAGTTCGGGGCGACGTGTGGCAATGAAACTGTCACAGGTCGGCTCAGTAGATCGGGAAGTGAGGGAACGCATAGCGGCGCTCGCTCACTTCTCGATCCTGTCCCTGCAGAGAGCCGTGACTGTCACTCACGGCTCCCTGCAGGGTTCCCCCCATCCCCGCTCCGATCCTCCAGCGCTGACTGGCGGAACGGACGGGGGAGGGGGGCGGGTACAGCTGGCTCTGCTTCTAGATAGGCAGAGCCAGCTGTCACTCACGCAGCTGGTTGGATCCAGACAGTGATGTCGGGATCTGTCCCGGCTGCGGCTGTCTCAGTATGTAGCTGTAGCTCGCGGTATACTGATCTGTGGGTGACGGGAGGACGTTAGTTTGTGTCCTCCCCTGACCCTTAGGAGAACTATGGGGAAAAACACTGACCCCCCATAGTTCTCCTTTTAAATCTCCTTTACATTGTATAAGACTTTTGAGAGCCGTTATTAATTTAAGCCGCCTGTTTTCCCCCCCTATGCAGGTGACCTCTCGCTGGACCTTCCGTTGCCCCGGCTGCCCCCAGGCTCTCTCCCACGACGACTCGCACTTCCACGAGCGACACAAGTGCATCAACTTCTTCGTCAAGGTGTACGGATACATGCCGCTCCTCTACACCCAGTTCAGGGTGGACTCCGTTCTCTTCAAGACTCGGCTTCCTCACGACAAAACAAAATGTTTCAAGTTCATATAACGCACTGAAGTCCCAACAGCGCGGGGTCTTCCTCGCGTCCCGCTACTCGGACGTCGCCCGAACTGTTCTCTCCAGTCTTAAACAATGATGAACTTGGCTATAGGAAATTCTGTATTATAGAAGAACTCGGCGTTCTCTGTACAAAAATTATTTCTCCCGCGGAACTTTATCCTTTTAATTGGCCAAGGGGGAAATCTTTTTTTTTTTTTAATGACCGTACAGATATTTTACATTTGCGTGGTGACACTTTTACCTGCTTCATAGGACGCACGTTGACTGAGACGTTTGGTTTGGTGGGACCTCCAGACGCGTAGAAAGGTTTTCTTCCACCAAGCTGGACATTGAGATACGATGGTCCTAAACGGCGAGAACGTCGTCGGATGAATTGATTAAAGTTTTTTTGTTTCTTTTTTTCTAATCGGCCAATCCGGAGACTTGGGAACGATCGACGTGCGCCGGATTTAATTATTCGTGAGAGGAGCTGAAGGTCGGAGAATCTCTCTCGTGTGGTGATCATGACGAACTATGTGATAACTGTTTACAGTCATAGACTTTAGACATAATAATATATCACGAGATCCTCTTTTTGGAATTCTAAGGAAAATGAGCGGAATTTAAATATCCCGGCCTCGGAAGACGAAGTGTTTATAAAAAGAGTATAGACCAGGGGTTCTCAACCTGTGGGGCGCGACCCACAGTTGAGGGGGGTCCCCACGTGCCATGTGCTGCTCTAGGTAATAGGCTCCTCAGCCGCCTCCTAGCGCAGCAGTGTCAGTTCTCCTAGAGGGCGCTGCAGCGGCCGGAGAGGATCAGAGAGAGGGGGAGCAGGCAGGAGTGAGGGGAGGTGAGTGCTTGGGCACCAGAGGCCGCACTGGGCACCACAGAGGCCGCTCCAGTCCCACCCACCGTGCCTCCAATCTGGTCCCACCCACCCGTGCCTCCAGTCTGGTCCCACAGAGGCCGCACTGGATGCCACCAGAGAGTCCCACCAGCCTCCTGAGAGCCTACACAGATACTAGTATTGGCGCATCCCTACATTTTACGGTTGGGGGTCACCACAACTTGGCAAATGTTACCAAGGGGTCCCGGCCCTGGAAAGGTTGAGAACCGCTGGTATAGACCATCGATCCATTTGATAGGTTTAGTGATGTAGTCTACAACCTGTGGTAAAAAATTATTTTGTTTTTTTTAATTATGGTCAACACGAGAAGATTGAATAAAAACTGTTGATTATAGGCGAATAATTCTGTTTCCATGGCAACAACAACAAAAAAAGTAAGTTACCGAACACTAATTCCTGAGAGATTGATCCTCGGAGCGGAACGGTGGCCAGGCTACGAACTTTCACAATGTTTACAATTTTTTTTAAAGCTGAATTTTTAGGATCATCAATGTACAAAGAAATCACCCAAAACATGAATAAAAAAAACTGGACGGGGGAGAAAAACCTTTTCTATAAATGTCTGTGACGTCGCTGCATCGGGAGGCGGGATCCGTGAGGTGGCCCCTGTCGTGTCCTCCATTCCAGGCACACCTCAATCAAGAGCTGAGGGCGGGGGTGGGCTGCTAAAGCCAGGGTAGAACACAAAACATGTCCACCCGTTGCCGGGGCGTTCTACTTACTGCAGCGACTATTATTATTACAGGTATTTATAGAGCGCCAACAATTTACGCAGCACTTTACATTGTGCACATTCACATCAGTCCCTACCCTCAAGGAGCTTACAGTCTAAGGGCCCCATCTCACATATACATACATACATAGAAGGGCCAATTTACCTTCCAGCGTGTCTTTGGAGTGTAGGAGGAAACGGGAGTAAGCGAGTACCTAGGTGAGTACTCGCCCAAATGCTCCGATGCCTAGCACAATACTTCCTGTATCAGGAAGCCGGGCAGCACGTCATCACACTCTGCCCGGCTTCTCGATTGGCCAGGGAAACCGCCTCCATGCTCCCTCGTCACTTGTAATAACACGCTGTCCGCCTTCCTGATTGGTCGGAAGTTGGCCAATCAGGAAGCCGGCTCCATGTTTTCTTGTCACCAAGCATGGGGACGGCTTCCCTGCTAATCGGGAAGCCGGGTGGCGAGTCTTTACACACCGCCTGGCTTCTTGAATGGGACTTCCGGTACTCCTACTATACACTGAAATCCCGGTATCGGTGCATCCGGCGACAACAAACTCGCAGCTCCGCAGTGTCACCTCTGAAGCTGCAGCAGCTATCCTGAGCCCTCCTTCATTTCCTGTGTGAACGACCTCCGTCATTCATCATCCCCCTCCTCCTGATCCGTACTGCCATTGCCCGCCTTCCACACCCATCTCGCTGGCATCCTTTTAGGTGTGTGTGCTGAAGCAGCTGATCAGCAGATTGCACAGCTGAAGTCTGCAGCACCCAGTGGCCTGTAGCTAGGAGCAGGCACGTCTAAAACAATGCTGGGGGATGTGTTCTTTCATATAAAGCTCTTGAAAGAGGATCCAAGGCAGGGTGCTGTGGTGTTCACCAGAAGCAGCCAGCACCTCCGACCAGACTTGGGCAAAAGACCGTCAGACTTTGGTGATGAGGTCACTTGCTCTCAAAAAAAGCTATTTGTGGAAAACTAAATGATTCGATTGTAAAGTTTTAATTGCATATTAATGGATTGGGGGGATTGTACAGTTGTGTGACAAAGAAAGTACACCCTTATGTTTCTTAATTCCTGTGGAAGCAGTAAGGGGGGTGTACTTAGTTTTTCCACACGTGACTTCTGCATTTTGGCTTTGTAAAATAAATAATGAGGCGGTGTATGTGATGTGTCCTGTGGTGGGGTTGTTGTTCATCGGAGGTATTTACTTAATTTTAAGACCTGCTAAGGACCAGATGATGATGTCCGTGGAATTCAGAGAGGGTGTACTTACTTTTTCACACAACAGTATGCGTACATTACACTTCAGTTTTAGGATGTTTGTTTTTTTTTTTTTTGCTGTAAACTTTGAGGATGGATCGCTCCACAGCGTCCGCAACTACACAAGTCAGCAAAAGCCTTTTCTACAATGTATCCAACCCCTGAATGTCCCTGACCTGGCTGCGTCTCTCACTAAAAGATCGGCGAAGCAAGAAACCAAAACTAACACGGCAACTTTTTGGAGTATCTGGAAGCTAAGGAGTATGGGGGCTCCCTGGGGTATCTGGAAGCTAAGGAGTATGGGAGCTCCCTGGTGTATCTGGAAGCTAAGGAGTATGGAGCTCCCTGGGGTATCTGGAAGCTAAGGAGTATGGGAGCTCCCTGGTGTATCTGGAAGCTAAGGAGTATGGAGCTCCCTGGGGTATCTGGAAGCTAAGGAGTATGGGAGCTCCCTGGTGTATCTGGAAGCTAAGGAGTATGGAGCTCCCTGGGGTATCTGGAAGCTAAGGAGTATGGGAGCTCCCTGGTGTATCTGGAAGCTAAGGAGTATGGGGGCTCCCTGGGGTATCTGGAAGCTGAGTATGGGGGCTCGCTGGTGTATCTGGAAGCTAAGGAGTATGGGAGCTCCCTGGTGTATCTGGAAGCTAAGGAGTATGGAGCTCCCTGGGGTATCTGGAAGCTAAGGAGTATGGGGGCTCCCTGGGGTATCTGGAAGCTAAGGAGTATGGGGGCTCCCTGGAAGCTAAGGAGTATGGGGGCTCCCTGGTGTATCTGGAAGCTAAGGGGTATGGGGGTATCTGGAAGCTAAGGATTATGGGGGCTCCCTGGGCTATCTGGAAGCTGAGTATGGGGGCTCCCTGGGGTATCTGAAAGCTAAGGAGTATAGGGCTCCCTGGGGGTGGGGGTGTATCTGGAAGATAAGGAGTATGGGGGCTCCCTGGGGTATCTGAAAGCTGAGTATGGGGGCTCCCTGGGGTTTCTGGAAGCTAAGGAGTATGGGGGCTCCCTGGGGTATCTGGAAGCTAAGGAGTATGGGGGCTCCCTGGGGTATTTGGAAGCTAAGGAGTATGGGGGCTCCCTGGGGTATCTGAAAGCTAAGAAGTATGGGGGCTCCCTGGGGTATCTGGAAGCTAAGGAGTATGGGGGCTCCCTGGGGGGTGGAGGGGATCTGGAAGCTAAGTGAAGGTCCATGTGAAATCTTGGTGTCTGCTTTTATCTTCTGGAATTGGGTATTGAAGATTTACTGGAGCACAGGCTGAGCTGTGAAGTGAAAATGCAAATGATATGCTAATGAGCACCGGATCCTGTTCCTCAATAACTATGTGAAAGTTCGAATATCAAGCACAGATCTTGTGATTGGTGAACCTGCATTTACTTGGCTATGAAGCCGCCTGTTCTATGTTCGGTGTCATTTGGGCCAACAACCACTTAGATATCGGGGTGATAAGTAGACACGTCGAAGAGGAACTTCACCCAGATCTTCAAAACAACATCTGAGGCGCCTCCTAGGAATGTTTAGTGATGACAATCTACAAACACTTCTAGATAATTTCCGGTGTTCTATCGAAATGTCCAACTTGTCAAGTTCCCCGACTGGTGACGTCACATCCGGTGGCTGCCAGTAGGAGATCTACACCAGATGGAGCTACAGCGTGTGCTCATAGAATCCTTGTCGAGATCTCTAACTATTGCCTCGGCGCCGTCGAATTCTACCGTGTTTCCCCGAAAATAAGACAGTGTCTTATTTTTTTTTTTGCACGAAATAAGACACTAGGTCTTATTTTCGGGGGATGTCTTACCTGGCTGCAGCTGTCCTCTGCCGTCCAGGGAGCCACAAACAGGTGGGCGGGCATGCGTGCGGCCGGGGGGGCGTGTCTGGCAGGGGGGCGGGAGGGAGCTGCCTCTCCGCTCGGAACTAAGGAGACGAGGGGGCGGGCATGCGTGCTGCTGGAGGGGGGGCGTGTCGGGTAGGGGGCGGGAGGGAGCTGCCTCTCCGCTCTGATGTCGTCATCCAGAGAGCAACAGCGTGCGGGTAGGTGGACGGGCGAGGGGGCGGGAGGGAGCTGCGGCCGGTCTTCACAGCTACCCCGGAAGTAAGACCTAGCGCTATCTTCGGGGATGTCTGTAATATAAGACCTACCACCGAACTAGGTCTTATTTTCGGGGTAGGTCTTATATTACAGATATCCCCGAAGATAGCGCTAGGTCTTATTTTCGGGGGATGTCTTACTTTCGGGGAAACACGGTATAACCAGACTCGGCACTGCGCGGCTATCGGCTTCTGTACCTTAGGACAAATAACATTTTTTATATATCGGTTATAGAATCCGATAGCCACAGTCACCACTGCTCACATCCGGTGACTGCCAGTAGGAGATCTACACCAGATGGAGCTACTGCGCATGGCCGTGGAATCCTTGCCGAATTCTCTCACTATTGCCACTGCGCCTGTCTGCTCCTATAACCAGACTCGGCACTGCACGGCTATCGGCTTCTGTACCTTAGGACAAATACAACTCTGTACCGGGTTATAGAATCCGATGAGCCGATAGGCGCGCAGTCGCAGTGGCAATAGTTAGAGAATTCGGCAAGGAATCCATGGGCACGCGCAGTAGCTCCACCTGGTGTAGATCTCTTATTGGCAGTAAAAAAAAAATGAATTGTCTCCGATATCGGCTGCCTTATGGTGTCCTATCACAGAAATAAGTGCTTTGCTCAGCTGCCCCGGTTGACGGATGCTTTATTGTCCTTCTTTATCCGGGTCCATCCCCAGGGTATTGGCGTGCTCTATGAGTTTTCCACCATGGAGGAGCGCTCGGAGTCTGATAAACGTGTGAAGTCAATTTGTTTTGATGTAACTATGAAAAGGTGGTTTCTCCTTTAACCAGTTGACATCCGCGGTGTTAAACCCCCTTCCCATCCCGGCCATTTTTCAGTATTCAGCGCTGCGGTACTTTGACTGACATTTATTCCGTCATGCAGCGCTGTACTGAAATGAATTTTATACCCTTTTTTGGGGACAGATAGAGCTTTCTTTAGAGGTAGACCCCGTGAGGTGTGTGTAGCTAGTTCTGGTCCCCGGCTGCTCATCCATCGGTTCCTGCAAGTGTTGGCCGGGAGCCCCTCCTGGAGCAAACGTTTGTTTAGCTGAGTCATTTGTTTTCAATATTAATAAGAAATATGAGATACGAGTATAACCAACGCGTTTCGGGCGAAAGGCCTCCCACATCTTCAGGGCTGACATGTAGAAGACAATGATTTATTTATATCATGGGACTTGGAGTTCCAAAACAGCTGGAGTGCCGAGGTTCGCCATCACTGCCCTAGGGTAATACGTTGTCCCTTCCGATATTGGATCCGGCTTCCTGACCGGCCCGGGAAGCCGGCTCCATGCTGATTGGCCGACTCAATGCTGATTGGCCAGGAAGCTTCCCAGCCAAACATTTCATTTCCTGGAATCACGGGGGCTCGGCTTTGATGTTGGGTTTTCCAAAAAAGAAAGGGCGGAAGTCCCACATCTCTTCCCCCCCCCCCCCCCGAGTTCCCCCTTAGGATCCATGCATTCAGATCTGTAATGAATATGGATTATGTCTGTTTACCGGTGTCAGAGCCGCCTCCCAAGACATGAGGAAGCAAAGCCCTGCCTCTACCAAGATGGCCGTCCCCCCACAGCGTCAAGGCATGGTAGGTAAGTCAGCCATGGGGATGAGGTCAGCTACAGGGAGACCACAGACAATTCCGGCATCTAGTCTTGTGCCCTCTGCTTGGGCACAGCTTCCCCAGTAAGGTAATTGAACCCATGACCCGGCACAGCGACTTCACATTGATAACTGCGCAGCTATTATAATCTTTACGGTAATCAAAGGAAAAAACATTTTGGTAATGTTAGATATAGAATTGCTGCCAGAAATTAAAAGTTAGTTGTTATTAAGAATGAAGATATTTAATATAAAACACTCAGATGACATCTTGAGATAAAAATAAATCTAAATACATCGAGCCGGTTCTGTACACGTGGGCCATTTACACAGGTTTATGGATCCTCTTAAAGGACAATTCAATATGAACATCGTCTGTCCATCGGGTAGATGGGACTCGGGGGGGGGGGGGGGGGAGGGGTT